CATATTGTTGTCAACTGAATCACAAAAAGAATCTAACCTGAACCAGGCACGGCTCCAGTGATGTGGATCAGTGTTCATTATAGCCTGAGCTCCAGCTTGTGTACCCTTTGCAAGTCTTGCCTTGGCTAGGTTGAACAATGTGACACAAGGGGCCTTTGCACAAGCCTAAAATTTCTTCTGCCACTCCTTCTTTTTAAATTTTTTCCTCCAATTGGCATATATATGCCTAGCACAATTCCTATGCTCAGCATCTGGAGCACATTTCTGCACTGCATTCAAAATTCCCTTTTGTTGATCTGATATGAAAACCCATCCAGTGCCACCATACACCTCTATATCTCTAAACAAAAGATCACAAAACCAATCCTATTGTCCCTTCTGGGTGGACATGTATGCTCAGCATTGTAGCTAGCAATCTGCCAACTACTACTCCTAGAATTGACAGAAGCCATGCACCTCCATTTACATGTGGACCAGTCACATACTGCAATTATTCTTGATGCCTCATTCTTGTAGAATTTGATAAGCTTCCTCTCAACTAGACTATGTTTGATACATGCCTTCTTGAATTGTTTCTTTCCACTAAACTTCATCCCAATCTCAAACTTAGGAATTGGTTCCTTCTTATTAAATCTTGGACATTTACTAGTACACTTCTGAATATCCCCATCACTCATCTCTTCTAATGAATCCTCATCATCACTGCTGCCATCATATGGGGTCAAATTTCCTTCATCCTCTATCTCATACAAATTTGGCACCTCTTTGGGATTGTCCAATATGACTTCATCTAAGTTGGCTACCTGTCTAGCCTTTAACCCCCTTTTAAACACCCTGAACTTGGTCAGAATTTCTACAACTTCATCATCATCCTCAGAAGAACACTCATCACCAGGTAAGTAGTCACTGTCACTGCTATCCCCAGACTTTGGATCATGGACAACTACTTGCTTGCCTTTGTCTTTCCTTGAATTTTTCCATCCCTCATCAAGCTGTATTGGTTGTTGGATCCTAGCTCTATTACCACTTGGAACAATGGTTGCACCTAAAAATTCATTGGTTGCATGCATAGGCTGAGTATCCTCTTCTATCTCAGGTCCATCATCCAATTCCTCCTGTATTTCCTGCTCATTCAGTGAGTCATCTTCATCACTTGTTCCTTCCTCCTCTTCATATTCACTGACTTCGTCACATTCACTTTCTTCCAAAGCAATAGGTTCTTTAACATAGATTTCAGCTAGCTCTCCATCCCCAATGGTACCTGCTACCTCTAAGCAGCCTTTGTCATCTAGAAGCAGCCTCAGACCATTGTCGAGCTCTTTCCCAGGAAGAAGCCAATGCAAAAGAGCCCTTTCACTTACATTGCAATGGTCCTTTAGGTGGCCAATAATCTTAGGCAAGGACACTTTATCCCTATCTATGAAGGAAACCTCCATCCGAGCACCGATGTACTGCACTTGTCTTCCTGTTCTTATGAATTCTCCATTGAAATGGAACCGGACTGGAAAATACTCAAATGGATCCATCCCCAGGACACTTTATCACTTGCCTATATGAAAAACAAGTTTGTGGCTGCATTAAACAATGGATTAAGCACTCCTACTCCCTAACCCGACATACAAGCAAAACAACAAACAAAGCGACATATCGAATGCAGCAGTGCTGCTTCACCTCTTTATACGTTTTAATCCATAAAGGATATGATGGCAGCGAAATACAAAAGGCATAATCTTTACCAATCTAGAAAGCTAATGGAAAGTACTACAAGCTTCTCATATTTGAAAAGTCTAATAAGACATTTAAGGGTTTCGAAAGGCCCCTACATCCAGTTCTGTCCAGAACTTCATCACAGCAAGACACCTAATTTCGAAAATACATATCTCTGAAACTGCTTGAGATAAAATCATGAAATTTCACGAGCTAATAGATCCGAAGGTCCTCTACAACTTTGTAGTTCACCAAAACACTTATTTCGGTCTCTAAGTAGCCCTAATCGTTTCCCCAAGAAAATATGCAGAAACTGTTCATCTGAAATCCGAGGAACAACATTCAAGCAACTTTTCTCCCCCACTAGTCCACCTATTCCCATGGCCAAAATCCACCCTAAACACCAAACTTGTGCAGAGAAGGGGGAAATCCAACTCACCTTAGTCAGCCACAAACCCTAGGGCGACGGGAAGGGATGGGGAAGGACCGATCCACATGCAAGATGCACCTCTTCTTGCTCCTATTGTTGTCCTCGATCCGATTTGCAAGTTTCCCCCAAAGATTTGGTGCTGTAGAGGGAATTTAGGGAGTGGCAGCCATGGGAGAGCAAGGGGAGGAGAGAGTAACGTGAGAAGAGGAGAGGGCTGGTTTGGAGGAGAAGAATGAGAGAAGGGGAGGAGTTCTATCAAAACCAGGAATGTGTAGGTGGACTGCAGTCCATGGCCTTTTGTGTCCGGTTTTAGAAAATAAATGGTGAAATATTTCTGGTTTTCGAGTTCGATGGTGGTTCCCGGACTTCGCCAAAAGTTTGATGGCCAAAAATAGACTTTACTCTTATTATTATTATATTAGTAGCTAGCCAAATACTAGTTAAAACTAATTTTAATCCATTTAAATAACATGACTAGTAGGCGGTTAATTTTTTAGCTAAGTTTTCAACTGGTTAGCTAATTAATTGGACAACCTCAGCTAGCTTTGGTTAAAGTTTGAGTGTTTAACCCCAACTAGCAGGGCTATTTGGATCTGCAGCTGCAGGCTAGACGAGCAAGGCGAGCGCCAGGCGGAGTGGGTAAGCTTTTTCGCGTACCCCTGCTGCTGCGTCTGCGTGCTTGTGTCAGGCAGGCAGGCAGACGCGGAGCGGTGGCAAAAGCAGCGAATCGTCGCGTTTTCTTGCTTTTTGGTTCCAGCTACTGGTAATCTTTGCACCGTGTCAGGATAGGAGAGTCGGAGCGCGCGTGATTTGGCTGGGCACACCAAGCGCAACCTTTGCATGCATGGATGCAAGCATTCCACCGTGCGGGCGGCATAGACCGATTTTTTTTTTTGAGCAAGGCGGCATAGACCGATTGTGAAGATTAATTAATGATAATTAGGTACGTGCATTGCATGCATGCTACTACGTCCAATATTTTAGCGTTTATATGTTGGACTTTGATCACATCATCACATGCATGCAAACGGTAACACTGGGTCGAAGCGACGGGGGGTTCTTGCTGGCTGCTGACGACAGCAAATTCGAATTTTTGTCTGCATCTATCTTTATCATTGGCCACAGGGAGAAGCCGAGGTTTGTGCACAATCTCCGCTGGGAAAGCAGGTTTTCGTTGGGTTGCTGCTTTACGGCTGAATCTCCTGTAAGCGACAACGGATGGTAGCGGGCAATGGATCGCGCCGGCACGTACTGTTAGGGATAGATGTTGGGCCGATAACTTCTTGGGCCATGGGCCTCGGCAGGTTGACAGCAACTCTCCGAGCCTCGGTACAAAAGGGTCAGCGACACACGAAAGGAGACATCGAACAAATTAGCAGAATACTCTTCCTAGTCTACTGTTCATCTTTCTCCCCAAGACTACCTCTCTCTTGTACCTAGATTACTATCTCCAGTCTCTTCTAAAGCTTTCCTCCTGCTCCTTGCTCCTCCTATATCTGTACTCTCTGCTTCCTCCTCCCCTGCTCCAGTTCATCTCAGTTGTACTGAATCGCTACCGTGATTATATTGTTGGTGTGTGATCGAGTTGCAAGGTTGGGGTTACTAACAATTGGTATCAGAGCCGTCGATTCTCGGTATCCATCACCATTATGTTTCTACCACAAAAGCATGGTGATGGATTCTTTGTTGTCAGCAATGAGCAAACGGATTTATCAGTCACATATAATTATATGCACACTTGTTTGGACTGCAACTTCTTCTCAGCCCTTATCTTTGGAAAGCATTTGGCAACTGCTTCGTTACTCAGGACCACCTCAATTGCCATTAAGCTGGATATTGCTGATTCTATGTTTACTGCCACCGTACACCTGGAGGTCATGTCTGATGGATCAAGGTGCAACCATGTGGTGCTTATTTTGTTGGAACGACTAAATTGCCCTCGTCCATGGAAGAGCCAATGCAGCAATTATGGAAGAAAGTATGTGTTACTGTAAAAAAAAAAAGTGGTGCAGCGTTCAGAAGCGTTCTTACAGTGGCTTGACCTTCAACAGCTACACATACCATGGGATCCTGGTAGTTTATCAGTGTGCGAACAGACTGCTGCTTGAGGTCGTTGGACTGCCAATGTTTACTGCTATGTTTGCATTAGCACAAGGTGTTGTTCAGCCACTCAAGTGCATGCTCTCCACAGTGAATTGCTACTTAAGCGATATTATGCATCGGCTTGGGGGCAAGCCGAATTTTAAGAGGAGGGGAATGTTAGGGATAGATGTTGGGCCAACAACTTCTTGGGCCATGGGCCTCGGCAGGTTGGCAGCAACTCTCTCTCAGTACAAAAGGGTCAGCGACACACGAAAGGAGACATCAAACAAATTATCAGAATACTCTTCCTAGTCTACTGTCCATCTTCCTCCCCAAGACTACCTCTCTCTTGTACCTAGATTACTATCTCTAGTCCCTTCTAGAGCCTTCTAGATCTTCTTCCTGCTGCTTGCTCCTCCTATATCTGTACTCTCTGCTTCCTCCTCCCCTGCTCCAGTTCATCTCAGTTGTATTGAATTGCTACCGTGATTATATTGTTGGTGTGTGATCGAGTTGCAAGGTTGAGGTTGCTAACACGTACCCACCCTGCTTGCAGGCATCCGATGCGATGATGAGATTCATGCCCTGGCCTCAATCTCTAGCTACGATTTAGCAGTTAGAAACAGTCTTTAACATGTAGGATGCTGATGTGGACTGAACCGTACGATTTCGGGGGCTAATTTTTAGTTCACATCGGTAGTCTGTTTTATCTAACACGGTTAGAGATGCTCTAACAGACATAAGCATCCTAGTAGAGGATGACATGTGGGACCCATACTAACTAACTTAAACACGCTAACAGGTCCTCGTTGATGTTGAGCGCGCGGCACTGGAACTTGGCCTGCCGCTTGTCGTCGAACACGTTCTTGTCCTGCACCATGAAGAAAGCCTGCCCGACCCTGACGATCTCCATGGAGATGTACAGCGCGATGGGTATCATCACCTGGAAGGTGATCACCGACTTCATGAAGGTGAAGGCCACCTCGGCGCCCATCCCGTGTACCAGTTGTACGTGGCGTCCGGGTCGTCCTTGACGGAGAAGTCCCTCTTGCGGAAGAAGGGGATCACCCCGAGCTCGTCACCGTGGTCGCCGAGCCAGATGCCAACGAGGAGCGACACGATGGTTCAGAGGAGGAACAGGACGACGGCGAGCATGATGGTCTCGCGGTTCATGTGCGTCTCCAGGCGGCTGCGCTTGGACGGCGCCCCGTAGCTATTGAGCATCACCTTGGTGTCCCGGCCGGTGTAGACGGCCACGCCGATGGCCCAGGCCGTGTTCTTGAGCTCGCACCCGCGGAGCAAGATGTTGGAGGGGCCGAGCGAGACGGCGCGGCGGCCGTCGAGGTCGACCGTGGCGAGGAAGCCGTAGAGGTTGCGGTTGGGCCTCTCGCACTTGATGACCCCCGCGAGCGTCTCGGCCGGCGTGGGCATCGTCTCCTGCTTGGCGTACCGCGTCTTGAGGTTGGACTCGCCGTCGAGGTTGATGGTCTGCACGTAGGCGACGCCGGTGGGGTCGCTCGTCGACAGCAGCACCATGTCGCACGGCAGCGTCTCGTTGGCCACCACGCGCAACACCTCCCCCACGCCTGCACCTCCTTCCAACGCTTGGGCACGAACACGCCGCCCACCAGCACCGACGCGGTGCGGTTGTTCTCGTTCTTGTAGGACCGGTGCCGCCTCCAGTCCTCGTACGCGTCCTTCACCGCCGTCACCCCGAGCACGAACGCCAGCGGGAGCACGGACGCGGCCGGCGTGAGCACGCCCAGCTGCGGCACCATGTTCAGCGCCACCAGGACGAGGAAGTACAGGTAGGCCACCCGGTGGAACTGCTCGTAGAGGTTGCGCGGGCGTCCGCATGTATGAGCGTGTGTTGGTTGTGAGGGAAGGGCATTTTAGTCATCTTCATTGGTGGCCCCACGTGTCAGAGCTGTCGCACGATGAAAAACTGACAGAAGGGGATGGAATGACGTTAAAGACCAAAAAAAAAGTTTAGTGCAATAAAACTTGTGACCGTTCGAATTTTTTAATGGCTCATAGAGGATTACTATAATCTTACCTAACGGCACTCAGGTAAAAGTCCCCAGTAATAACCCCTTGCACGTATTAAAAAAAAAGACCTTGCGCTTTGGAAGCTGCACGCCGGCGCTTCGGATGTTAGTGACGCGTGGTACGTGCACTTCCATCGCTTGCACTATTAAATGTAAAAAAAAGTATAGGCTAGCATAATTTGTGCTTCAAAGCAGACCAGCTTGAGGTAGGACTTTTGTCATCTGCTCCATGTCTATAAAAGAATGCATCTACGAGAAGATTAAATTTCTAGTGAATACTATTCATATTTACATCTTCAAAATAATTTATTATGAAAATATATTTTATAATTAATCTAATGATATTAATTTGATATCATAATTATTAATACTTTTTTATTTATAATTGATTGAACTTAGGATACTAAACTATAACATTGTGCCAAAATTGTATATTTTTTGGACGAAGGGAGTACTAAGGGTCCGTTTGGTAGAGTTGTGCTCCCTGATTCTCCAGCTGTGGTCCCTGATTCTCTGATGAAGTGATTCTGAGGCTGAAAATGATTCTCTTTTATTCTTTAGCATAAACTCTTAAAATCATTATGGAGAATTACTTCACAAAATCAGAAGAAGCTACTTTTTTTTAGCTCTCAACTTCTTAATTCATTTTAAAGAATCACTTTATAGAATCATCAGATAACCACTTCACTCTAAAAAAAACCATTTGACAGCCGAGGAGGGATTCTCATCGAGAATCCGCTCCGTAGAGCGCTCCCAATCGCACCCTAAAGTAGTACTCGACGCATCGCCTCGCGGCCTCGCATGGGCAGAGAAGATTGCATGCAACGTACTACTCCCTACAAGTAAAAGTAGTACTCTCTTTTCTCTCGACATTTTTTTTTCTAGACGGAGAGAACAGGAGTAGCGGTACTAATATGATAAGGCATGATTAAAAGTATTATTAATTAATTTATTGTACAAGAAAAATACTATTTAGCTGAAAAAGTACAAATTATGAACCAAGGCGGTGTTTAGTTGGGCAAAGTACTTTGCATAGTGAAGATTCACTTCTGTAGCATTTCGTTTGTATTTGTGAATTATTGTCCAAGCATTCACTAATTAGGCTCAAAAGATTCGTCTCGCAAAGTTAAAGCAAACTGTGCAATTAGTTTTTGATTTCGTCTATATTTAGTACTCCATGCATGTACCATAAATTTAATATGACGGAATTTTTTTTTTATATAGCGTATTTTTCAGAAGTTTAGAGGAGCTTAACCAGGGCCAAGCGAACGAGTTCGCTGAACTCCACATTCCGCCTGTCTGTCCTTATCTTCCCTGTGTCAGAGGAAGTTGCAGAGCTTGTCGCAGCTGTGCTCCACATTCCGCATTGCACACTAGTCATGCCAACCAGCTGTGGGCTCACGGAAGAATAATCTCAGGGGTCCACCTGTATGTGTACGTGTACGTGTATGTGTGCGTACTCCTGTGTGAACAACAGTCTCAGTCCTGTTCGTTTAGCTAAAAATACTGTTAATTAATTTGTTGTAAAAAAAAAATATTATTTACTTCATAAAAAAGTACGTATTATAAGCAAAACAATCTGGTGGAGACGGAGATGAACGAAAAAGTAAGCAGCAGGAGACAGACGGTACACAACTCGCAGGCTGAGACGCTGAGCGTGGCTGACCACCAGCCTCCAAATGAAGCCAAACAGTTTGAGCGTATCACGGTCACCAGACTCAGCCGCCGTCCGTGGCGCCCACCTGTCGAGTCGTCGAGCCTCGACCGCGGTCAGCGGAGCACGGACGGCAGGTTTGACACCAAAGATTTAATCATTGTTAGTAACTACTAGTTAAAATTAATTTTAATCCATTAAAATAACATGACTGTAGGTGGTTACTTTTTTAGCCAAGATTTTAACTAGTTAGCCAATTAATTGGCCAATCTCAGCTAATTTGGGTCAAAGTTTAACACCAACTAGTAGGGCTATTTGGATCATGTAATTACAATTTTCACGCTTCTAAGTCATGCCATTACTATTTTTCTATTTAACTTGCCATTCCAATGTTGCCTCTATCTCAATCGTGCCTTTTTCACATCCCAAACCATATCAGGACGACCTACAAGCCAATGTATTTCCGTATGGCCTAAAATACGTTTGCCCACTCTAATTAACCAGAGGGCCCGTACAGAGACAATTTCTGGCGGTTCCTGGTATATGGGCGCCACTAGAAATAAAACTGTAGGTCCAGATCATAAACCGCCAGTGTAAATTCAATTTTACTGGTTGTTTTCTTAAGTTTACCGCCACTGAAAATGCAAGATTTCTACTGGCAGTAGCCTTAAGAAAGCAGCTAGTAAAAATATATTTTTAGTGGCGGTTTCCATAACTTAGCGTCACTACAAATAATTTGAAATAGACGATGAAAATTAAAAATTAAGTACTAAAATTTAAAATTTTCAAACGACCTTATAGAGAAATGACTAAAATAAAAGTTATAGATCTCGTAAAGTTATAGGACTTTGCTATTTACATCTTTTACATTTGAAATCATTTGATGTTTCAAAATATTATTTGAAATTCAAATTTTAAATGGTTGAAGAACTTTGATCTCTCTTTTTAATCTCTAGCTAAAACTTGTAACTAGTCTTTCTCCCTTATATTAACTTCAAATTACTTGATTTTTTTCTAAAATTTTATAAAATCATGCTCTATCAATTTATTATGTTCTTACATCTAATATTTCGGTCATCTTTTCTTTTTAACATTTCAAAATTTGAGTTTCAAAAATAACAACTTCAAACAGCATTTTGAAACAACAAATGATTTCAGCTGAAAAAGTCATTAACATAAAAGTTGTAGAACTCATTAAAATCTACAATTTTTATTTTGATAATTTTTTTTATTCGACAAAGTGGTAGTAAACATTGTTCACAAATGACATATCTCTTGTATAGTTTCGTAAACTATGCGAGAGATTTATGAATTTGTGAACAATGTATACTATCACATTATCGGATGAAAAAATGACCAAAATAAAAGTTGTAGATCTTGATGAGTTCTACAACTTTGTTGTTGATGACTTTTGCAGCTCAAATCATTTGCTGTTAAAAAAATCTTGTTTGAAGTTGTCATTTTTTGAAATTCAAAATTTGAATTGTTCAAACCAAGTCACATGAAAAATGACCAAAATAAAAGTTGTAGATCTCGATGAGTTCTAGAACTTTGTAGTTGGTAACTTTTTCATTTGAAATCAATTTGTCACAAAAAAACAATGTTTAAATTTCTCAAATTTATTTAAATTTTTTAAATGACTTTGGATTGAGAAACAACCAAAACGAAAGTTGTAGAGCTCAAAAAGTTATGCAACTTTGTAGTTGACAACTTTTCATTTAAAGTCATCTTATCGAGGAAAACTATGTTTGAATTTCTCAAATTTAAAATTTGAATTTTTTAAACGACCTCGATGGAGAAACAACCAAAACAAAAGTTATAGATCTTGAAAAGTTATACAACTTTGTAGTTGATAACTTTTTGATTTGAAATCATTTAGTTGAGGATAATTACGTCTAAATTTCTCACATTTGAAATTCAAATTTTGTAAACGATATTGGAAGGACAAACAAGAAAACGGAAGTGGTAGATCTCGAAAAGTTATACAACTTTATAGTTGACAAACTTTTTATTTGAATTCATTTAGGGTCTCAGACAATCAATTTAAACTCAGTTGAGGATAATATGAGGAGAAAGAAAATCCATTATAGACACAAGTGAGTGTGAGGTACAGTGGTCAGAGGAGCATCGCGTGAGGGTGAGGTCGTAGGTTCGAATCCCGCCGGTCGTGAAGCATAGCGAAAATGCTACAACTTGCGACTTCGGCGGAGCGGGCGGGTGGCACTGGTGGCGGCTCCCCGGATTAAAAAAAATCTATTTTTTGAGCCCGATTTGCAATTTTCGAAATCATTTATAGTGGTGGTAGTCTTAAAAAATAGCTAGTAAAAATGTATTTATAGTGGCAGTTTTCTTAAGGAAATACTCAGTGTAAATCATTTGTAGTGACGGTTCTTTAAAAGACGCCTGTGAAGTTTGCGATTTCCACTAACCTTTGGCACTGGCGGTGGATAAAAACGCCAGTAAAAATAAATTTAGAACAACCAATACTAATATTCTGTGTACCAGTGATCCTCTGCTCCTTTTCTTATTCCTCCATCCACTAGCGCTACCTGCATGGTCTCTCGCCCACCCCTTTGAAAATCTTAGCTTGGTTTTGGTAATTGAGTGATAACTTTAGGTGGACTAATGTATTTCACGTGAGATAAACATGTACTTGGTCCATATGTACACTAGTGTGAACAATACATAGAGCTATAGTATAGAAGTGTCTCATGCATGCAGTGTTCGCCTAAACGGTTTAAACGGCTGTTTAAACGGCCAGTAAATGGTAAACTGTGGTAAACTGTCTTGTTTAGGGGGTAAACAGAAATTAAACGGTTGACCGTTTAAACGGTAAAAAAACAGAAAAAACGGTCTAAACGGCCAAAACGGAACGGAAATAAACAGCATTAAACGGGCTAAACAGCTGTTTAAACGGTTGTTTAGACGAACACGAGGTAAATCTAGTTCAGTTTTGTATGGATAAATTTGTATACTTAAGTTTATTATATTTATAAATATATACACTTGATATGTTACATGCATAAATATCTATATTTGGTTCTTTTCACATGCATAAATATATATATATATATAC